ATCATTCGTCACGAAAACAGTTTTCAGAACGGCTCCACTTCAAAAGTGTCAAAGTAGTTAAAAAAAAATATAAAAAATGTGTTGCTTGAAAAGGCTAAAACAACGGAAAATAGCAAAGAAGAGGGTCTCAAAGAGATTAAACCGTTAGCCGTAAAAACGGCAAAAACTGTTGTCAAAATTGGCAAATTCGAACCGTTAGTCGTAAAAAATGCTTACCGTAATAAAAGGCCAAAATGTTAACCAAACTTTAGCCATAAAAGCCCTATTGAGACCCTCAATGGGTCAAAGTAATAAAAATTTGCGTCATCATATCCCTTTTTTGTGACATCAAGAAAAAAAATTAAATCGAAGAAAGATCAGCCCGCGAGTTCATCAGCTTACGATTATTTCTAGAAAACCTAACATCTGTAAAATTTGCGCAATTGACATTACTTCTCATCATAGCCTGGAAACCATTTTCTGATATACTAGCCCATTCGTTCAATTAATCATAAGATAATTAAAAAATAAATCCTGAACCTTTTTTGACAAAATGTTTAAAATATTTAATCGATAACGAGTTCAATTGAGTAGTCGATCGCGTGGTGCCTCTAGTAGCGCTAAAACACACTTCGTTTAGTCAATCTACTGTAAAGAACTCTTTTCACAAAATTCCGATCTAAAAAGTCTTTTCCTCTGGGCTCATAAAGAGATTTAAAAACTAAATCCATATCCAGAAAATGGAAAAATGTTAAAAATTTCTCATCACGAGTTCAAATGAAAACTCGATCGTATAAATCCTTTAAAAGCACTAAAACTCACTTAAGGAAAAAACTACGAAACTGCTCAGATTACTTTGGTCCATTTGAATCTGTGTACAATCCAATCCTGATTTTTTCCCTGAGGTTTTTTCTCCATCGGTGTGGAGTCTCGTCTTTTCTTGCGCAAGTCTTTTTCCAACGTTCACAACCTACAAGGGAAAATTATTCAAACTCAAATTAGAAATTGGGAAAGGAAAAATTCATAAGTATTAAGAGCATCATGTAACACAATTTGCATAGCGTATCTACGCCGATACAAGTCCCATAGGATCGTAAGTCTTGGAATGAACAAAAATAAACTTCATAGAGTCGTTTAAGTGTTAGAATAATTGACAATAAACAAAGTCACACTTACATGTACTTCAGCCAAAGTCTAAACTTCAGAGGCGTCCGGTAAGTCCAGTGTGACGTCATCACCAATTAGTACAAATGGTGCCCAGTTCCGTACATTTCTGAGCTGTTCAATTTTTCTCATGCAACTCATAGCTTGCTGAAGAGCTTCACTGGCTCTCTTTCCTGCTGCAAGTTCTTTGTAGAAGTACTTCATGAATTCCATCGTGGCCTCGTCACCAAGCGCCCACAGAGCTACCAAAACAGAGCGAGCCCCGGCACCCAGAAATGATCGCGCTATGCCAATTACTCCTTCAGCTGCCTTGATTTCTCCTCGAGCGCTGTGACAGCAGCTTAGCACAACCAGCCTTGCCCGCAGGTGAGCATCTGACACATCCTTCATGGTGAGAAATCTCACATTTGACATGCAATGTTCTGAGATTCTCTTTGTTTAACTTTTCAATGTAGTTTTCGGTCAAGTAACCATCAGAACTATAATCGCGGATGTTGATTAGTCTGACGTGAACATCATTACCGATCTGAACAACCCAGAAATACATTTGTTCATCAGTAACTGTTAAGAAAACCAAATTCGATTGAGCACAACCCACAGGTAATCGGTAAAGAGGCTTCTCAGGCAGGTGTGACAAACAGCATGGTTCACCAGAGCCGTACTCATAATTCACCAAATCATTTAGAGCTTGAGCACGTGCTTGATCAGCTACGAGTAGAGCCTCAACAACTTGATCTAAATACAAATGCAGTTTCCATAAGGCTGCATACGCATGTTCACAGGAGATACGGTAGGTAATCTTCCACTCTTCTTCAAATTGCAGATCAGCTCTTAGCTCATTATACATCGTAACGCTGGACTGGTAGTACTTAAGCGAACTGAAGAGAGACCCTAGGTTTTTAGAGACAACTCCAAGGTTAAAAAGTGTTAAGGCTTGACTAGCCTTGTCTCCCACTTTCTTTTCAACTGCTAGTGCAAGTTCGTGGTACTCCATTGCTCTTCGATCATCACCTAAGCTATTATAAGTGCATCCGAGATGGGAATAACAGTCCCCCTCCCCTTCCTTGTCGCCTACTTCTTTAGAATTTTGTAATGCAAGTTGTTGGTAATCGATAGCTTCCATAAATTTCCCTAGGCTGCCATAAGTACTACCGAGATAGCGATAACAACTTCTCTCATTATCCTTGTGTCCCACTACTTTGGAAATTTTTAAAGCAAGTTTATAGTGCTCCTCTGCTTGTATGAAAAATCCTAACCTACTATAAGCATGACCGAGACTGAAGTAACTGTTTCCCTCTCCAACCTTGTCGCCCACTTCTTTGAAAATTTGTAATGCAAGTTTTTGGTACTCCATATTGTTCTCATAATTTCCTAACTTACCACAAGCATCAGAGAGTTCGTGATAACTCTTTCCCTCTAGAGCCTTATCGCCTACTTCTTTGGAAATTTCTAATGCAAGTTGTTGGTATTTGATAGCTTTTATATAATTTCCTAACTTATCATAAGTAGTACCGAGCTCGTAATAACTTTCTCCCTCTTTAGCCTTGTCTCCCACTTCTTTGAAAATTCCTAATGCAAGTTGTTCGTACTCGATAACTTTTGTAAGATTTCCTAACCCAATATAAGATTTACCGAGATTGAGATAAGTGTTTCCCTCACTAGCGTTGTCGCCCACTTCTTTGAAAATTTCTAATGCAAGCTGTTTGTACTCGATAGCTTTTGCAAAATTTCGTAACTCATAATAGGCAATCCCGAGACCGCTATAACTATATCCCTCTCCATCCCTGACGCCCACTTCTTTGGAAATTTCTAATGCAAGTTGTTGGTACTCGATAGCTTTTATATAATTTC